GTGATTGGCACCAATATGAACCAATCACAGGGGGTGGTGCCAGTCAAAGGAAATTTTTATGAGAAAAAAAAATATTTGAACATGCATTGAGCAGATATGATAGATGAAACCACTCCAATAGTGGCCCCAACTGGATAAATTATGTTATATGTTACTGGGTGCATATTGAGGAGCCGACAGGACTCTAGCTACACTACCTCTCAAATTATGGCACTTCCAACGTTGCTGGTAAAGTGAATAACATTGATTATTTCCTGACAATGACACCTGTGGGGGCTGGGATATAGTAAGCAGCAAGTGTACGGTCAGATTGGTAGAGGTGGGCGGATCAATCCAAAGTATCCAGAGTATCAATACCACGGTGGTATCGGTATCGCATCGATACTTACGTGATGGAATCGAGACTCAAGTTTCAGTTTCAAACACCGCTCCTTTCCCTCACATCTCTCCTCTGCCCTTCCCCTCCACTCCCTACTACTGTCTGTCTCATCACTCAGAGACACTCAGCGAACTGCAGAGAAGGAGAGAAGCACCGTTTGGCGTTATTTCACAGCTGTAGACCCAAACACTGCAATCTGCGATATTGGCAGAAAATGATTATGATATTGTGACAACACCACAAACTTATTTAAATACACCCAAAAGAAAACTCTGAGCCCCAAAGCAAACGGAGGGAGAAGGAAGAGGGAATCCCCAAACCACAAGGACACCCCAGGCACCAAGACAGCAATCACTGCAGAGGTCTTTCAGCATGGCCAGAGATATCCAGGTCCAGTTGATTCATAGAAGTGAAAGTAAGATTTAGTTATCTCCAGCATTAGTTACTGTTATTTTCCAAAGTGTAAGTTTTTATCCTCGTTGTAAGTTTAGCAGTGAGATGACTGATCAGCCTACACTCTGCAATAAGTGGGTTAAAAATGACCCATATAGAATAAATGTGGTTTATGTCATTTTTTGTCATTATGTTTAAGAATTATCATTTGTATTATTGTTTGTACATTTGTACAAACACACTCTCTGCAACCCACACACAAACACACACACATAATACATACAGTAATGTTAGCTAGCTTAGCTCATCATTTGATGATACATAGCATTAACATATATGCTTTCAGACAAGAGTCATGAATGTGCAAGTATCTTGAAAAATATCAATTTGATGACATCATTTTTTTCTAAGTGAAAAGTATTGGTATTGGTATCGGAATCGGCAATACTGGCCCTGTGTTGGTATTGGATCAATACCAAATTTTTCGGTGCACAGATTGTGTACAGATTGGGTCAGAACACTGCAAAAATACTTGCCGAATGTGGTCCAAGAAAGGATGACAGTTGGTGAACCAGTCATGAGTGCCTAAGGCTCACTGATGTGCAGGGGAAGTGAAGGCTGACCTGGGGAGTCTATGCTGACCACTGCAGAAAACTGGGCACATGAGCACCAGAACTGGACAACTGAGCAATGGAAGAAGAAGACGGCCTGGTCTAATGAATCACATATTCTTGTGAATCATGTGGACGGCTGGGTGGTGGCTGCAGGATGCACTATGGAAAGAAGGCAAGCCGGTGGAGGCGGTGCGACTGTCTCTGTGCGCTCTGCTGGGCAACCTTGAGTCAAGAGCTGTTGCAGACCACATACATTCTTCATGGCAACACTCCTCCATGTTTGCTGTGGTCTCTTTGAGCAGGATAAGTCACCCTGTCACACTGCCAAAACCGATCCGGAGTGGTTGGAGGAGCATGACAAAGAGTTCAAAGTGTTGGAAAGCCCCAGACGTTAGAGCATTTTAGCATCTGTGGGATGAAAGCCAACATTACAAATCAACTGCAATGAGTCAGAACTGTTTAGAGGCATTAAATGGGAACTATGAATTATTAAGCAGGTTGTTTCAATGTTGTGGCTGAAACTCACATCCAGTTAAGGTCAAAAACAGTGCGTTGCCTCGATGAAACGCTACGTGTGTTAATGTAGTAACAAGAAAAGTTGAAGTGCAACGAAATGTTGCACTTCATAACGTACAGCAGCAACGTACCAAAATATGACACCTTTAATTTGAATCCCATTACAACTGTAACAATTTGCATAACCTCTGCTCAATAAATTAAAAAGAATGAAATGAATTTTGCAGCTGTAGCACTAGTTTATGTCAAACAATACATTAAATCTTCCAGTTGAAATAAAAGCAAGTGGTAAAAGGCAACGACTGTGTTTTTCTAGCCAAATATTAGACTCACTTAGAAGATTATATCAGCAACGTATCGGCCTCCTATCGTGGCAAACCTTGTGATCAATAAGCAGATCATACAAAAGTTGTTTCTCTATTAAATCACGACTCAACAATCATAACAACAGCTGTAATTAAAAAGTGCTGATACTCCAACACTCCAGCAAAGGTATTTAGGAGCAGTTGACAGATGTTTCTCACACACCTGACAAAGGGGTTGATTTATTGATGTTTAAGCAAACAGTAACTCCTATAAAACATCTCGTCCTTTATGGGCATCAGTCAAATTTTCACTTCCTCTAAATCTTTACCTCCACATTTTTCTGCCGTTGGAACTGAAAGAAGTCTTAAGACAAACTTGCGCAACTTCTTACGTGATTGACAATGCGTCAGTCAGGCCGGCGTCATGCAGCCATCGTCCAGGTGTGCTGAGGCTCCTCCAAGGACTCTGTCAGGATTTTTCTGTTTAGCGCAACAATACGAACGTCTTCAAAGAGAGACTGAGACACTATGCTGTGATCCCTGTTTGAAAGACCAGACAAGACGGAGAAGCGGTCTGATACAGCAAAAACAATGAAATAAAGAAATGTATCTATAGCATTAAAGAAAAAACTGCAGGTGTTGAATCAAAGTGCTGTACAATGACAACAACAAACCATAAAACACAATGACAACGAGACACATCTGAATTCAAAAAAGACAATATAATAGTAAAGAATGAAAGATTCAGCACAATAAGACACGACACGAGAGTGCCACGCTCTACAGAGAAGAGTCGTCAGCTGCAACTTAAAAGTTTCACAAGTCTGAGCAGTTACGTACATGGAGACGCAAACTGTTCAGGAACTGCGAAGGCTCCATCACCTCCAGCTTTTTGGCTACATCTCAGAACATCGAAGAGCTTCTGGGTGGTCCACGTCAGTGCTCCAACTGGGGTGTGATAACATAAGACTTCTGTGTAAATGTGATGGTGCCAACTAATTTCAAACCTCAAAAACAAACAATGAAATCTTAAAATGAAAGCTGAAATGGACGGGAGCCAGTGGAGGTCTGACTGAGTGGAAGTAAAGACACCAGAAGTCTTTGGGATGAACATCAGCTTTCACCTTAATTGAAAGAAAACAAGTCAGTTTTGACCACTGAGCTGATCTGTCTATCAAACTTCAAGGAGTTGTCAAAGATCATTCCGAGGTTTTTCACAAAAGATCGATCCAAGAGTGCCATCAGGGTCTTTAATTGTTGACCAAAAACAAGGACCTCAAAAGGATTTTTATTAAGATTGAGAAAGTTTAAATGCGTCCAGATTTTAATATCTTTTGTATATTATCTGCAAAACAATTAACAAGTAATATCAGGACACCGGTTCCTGCTGTTTTATCAGCAGATAAGAAGGTCCTGTTATTGCAAGGACAGTTGTTTGAAATATTCCTCCACTGAAATGAAATTACTGATAATGCTACAGACTAACGATGGTCCCTGAGGGTTTTGTGGTGCAAACGGTATTTATATAATTTACTATTTGCTCTATATTTAGTTTGATTGATCATCCAGTTGCTGCAAACGTCTTTCCCTCCGTCATCTCGTCCCTTCTTCCTCTGCAGAGCCTCCATCTCCGGGCCAAATCGCTGCAAGGCCGCTGGATGACAGCAGCATAGAAGTCAGCTGGACGGCGCCGGTAAAGCAGCCAGTGAGCGGCTTTGTGGTGGAGTGGTTCGCTGTCACAGAGGGAAACAGCAGCGTCCTGCACTGGGAGAAGCTCAACGGTTCCCACACAGCTCTGGTCATCACAGGTAGTCTGACAGCAGCTTCAGCATCTGACGTACAAAGTTAGTTTTGTCTGTTTAGAGCTGGAATTATGAAGCAGTGACTTCATCACATCATCACACTCAGTTAACAGCTGATGGGATGCTCACTGACAAGTTTCACGTCTGTCTGGTTTCAGAGGGAGTGAAGCCGATGGAGCGTTACGCTGTTTCTGTCAAAGCGCTGTACGGGGAACGAGATGTGGGGAAAAACAGGACGCTCCAGATTTATACACGACAAGGAAGTACGTTATCTGTACTGTGGATGTCTCATGCTGAGCTTTTTGATTGTTGTTGGCTGTTGTTAGGATATTAATGAATTATTGTATATTTTTCTAACTATAATAATAATAAGAAGAATAATAAGAATAATAATAGTAATAATAATAATAATAGCAATAATAACAATAAAATAAACCCCAAAGAATGCACAAGTTAATTTGCTGTAAATAAAAATTGACATAACTAGAACAAAAACAACTCACAAATGTGCCATATCCTTTCATTTTCCCCAAAAAGATCTATAATTACCAAGAACACCTGCAACCCTGTTTTTATTTTGGCAAACATTACCCAAATGGTGCATTTGTCGGGGGCTATTTTCAGCTTTTTGTCTTCCAGTGAGCATTTACGGCAGCAGGAATGTATGTTTGGATTTCAAAAATAAACCACGGGACAGCACCCGTGTTTTATCATGATGCACAAACATGTCACTCAGTGGAATTGTTCTTCTTCAGAAAGCAGTTAACATCTATGACAACTGTGGTTTTAGCTCCACAGGAAACATTATACCGGTTTAATGTTGTTTCTAATATTTTTTTTATTTGTAAAAAAAAATAGCTCACAGAAAGAAAGATAATGTGAGACTGGTGCAAAAAATGTAAATAATGTATGTGGCATGTGGATGATGATATTTTAAAAATAAAAAGTGTATGATGAAAAAAAAAGGCCCAAAGGCAAAGATGCATTGGTGACTACAACTTTTAAGGTAGTATTATTAGTTAGTGAGCTTGACTATTTTTCCTGTTATAACTTCTTACTATTATTCTTTCCTCCTGGACTACAGTAAGAAAACATTCTCCTCTGTCCAACAGCAGCTTGTATAAAGTGCACCTCTTAAAAGCTTCTTTATAAGTGCTTGATAAGTGGAACTTGATTCTGAATGGGCCAAGCATCGATTGAGGTTTATAATTGACTCCACCTACTGTTTACGCTTTGTTGTTGTTGACTGAGGCTTTGATACTAAGCTGATAAAGTTGTGACAGAAATCCAGACCACACATCAGTGAGAAAATAATAGATAACCACAAACCAAAACGATCCTTCTCAGCTCAGCCTAATCAGATCTTGCATAACTTGTACAATTCTGCCTTTTAATGTGGGCCTTTGCTTAATAGGCTCAATTACTTCATTATGCTTCACATCCCGGCTGTGGTTACTGAACTTGGAAAATCCCATTTTACACATTGTGCACCTGCAACAATCTGGAAAAACAAGCAGCACAGCTGAATACTTGACTCATTTTTATCCTTTAAATGCTCTAATTGCTCTAATTGTTATTGCTAAATTTGCAAGTTTAATTGCTTTTCTCACTCTTGTTTCTTATGTGTCCCCACACCTTTTATTTTCTTATCCGCCTGCTTGTGATACATTGCTCAGCATCATCATTCATCTCACTAAATGCTCTGACGTCTGCATCCACACAGCGCCATCAGCTGGTCCCGACGTGAAAGTGCAGTGGTTCACCAGCGGCACGGTGGAGCTCGGCTGGAGTTCTGTTCCTGTGGAGCGGCTTCGCGGTTTCCTCCGCAACTACACTCTCTGCTACGCAACCAGAAACCAAGCAGCAAGGAGTGAGTGATGCAAAACATTGAGTGCACACAAAGACTGTGGAAAGGCCGATGGACGTGTCTCAGGATCTTTTACTCTAGACTCAGCATGAAACTGACAGATTTGGTTTGTAGTGACATTTCTCGGTGACTATTAGATGAATTGCTGTGGCAGAGATAT